GTGTGGTGCGTGTGGTGCGTGTGGTGCGTGTGGTGCGTCGGGTGCGTGTGGTGCGTGTGGTGCGTGTGGTGCGTGTGGTGCGTGTGGTGCGTGTGGTGCGTGTGGTGCGTGTGGTGCGTGTGGTGCGTGTGGTTGTGTGTGTGCGTGTGGTGCTTGTGGTGCGTGTGGTGGTGTGGTGCGTGGTGGTGCCGTGTGGTGCGTGTGGGTGGTTGGTTGGTGCTGTGGTCGTCTTGTGCGCTCGGGTGCGGTGTGGTGCTAATGGTGCGTCGTTGCGTCGGGGTGCGTCGTGTGCGTCTGGTGCGTTGTGCGTGTGTGCGTGATGCGTATGCATATGTGGTAGCGTGTGCGTGTGTGTGTGTGTGTGCGCGTGCGCGCGTGGCGCGTTGCGCGTGCGTTAGCGTGTGTGTGGGTGGTGGGTGTTGTGGGTAGGTGTGGGTGTGTGGGTGTGTGTGTGTGTGTGGTGCCTGGGTGCGTGGGTGCGTGGGTGCGTGGAAGCGTGGGTGCTTGGGTGCGTGGGTAAGCGGGTGCGTGGGTGCGTGGGTGCGTGAGTGCGTGGGTGCGTGGGTGTGTGGGTGTGTGGGTGTGTGGGTGTGTGGGTGTGTGGGTGTGTGGGTGGGTGGGTGTGTGGGTGTGTGGGTGTGTGGGTGTGTGGGTGTGTGGGTGTGTGGGTGTGTGGGTGTGTGGGTGTGTGGGTGTGTGGGTGTGTGGGTGTGTGGGTGTGTGGTTGTGTGGGTGTGTGGGTGTGTGGGTGTGTGGGTGTGTGGGTGTGTGGGTGTGTGGGTGTGTGGGTGTGTGGGTGTGTGGGTGTGTGGGTGTGTGGGTGTGTGGGTGTGTGGGTGTGTGGGTGTGTGGGTGTGTGGGTTTGTGGGTGTGTGGGTGTGTGGGTGTGTGGGTGTGTGGGTGTGTGGGTGTGTGGGTGTGTGGGTGTGTGGGTGTGTGGGTGTGTGGGTGTGTGGGTGTGTGGGTGTGTGGGTGTGTGGGTGTGCGGGTGTGTGGGTGTGTGGGTGTGTGGGTGTGTGGGTGTGTGGGTGTGTGGGTGTGTGGGTGTGTGGGTGTGTGGGTGTGTGGGTGTGTGGGTGTGTGGGTGTGTGGGTGTGTGGATGTGTGGGTGTGTGGGTGTGTGGGTGTGTGAGTGTGTGGGTGCGTGGCTGCATGGCTGCGTGGGTGTGTGGGTGAATGGGTGAATGGGTTTGTGGGTGTGTGTGTGTGTGGGTGTGTTGGTGTGTTGGTGTGTGGGTGTGTGGGTGTGTGGGTGTGTGGGTGTGTGGGTGTGTGGGTGTGTGGGTGTGTGGGTGTGTGGGTGTATGGGTGTGTGGGTGTGTGGGTGTGTGAGTGTGTGGGTGTGTGGGTGTGTGGGTGTGTGGGTGTGGGTGTGTGCGTGCGTGCGTGCGTGCGTGCGTGCGTGCGTGCGTGCGTGCGGAACCACGCGCGCGCTTCGCGCGCGCTTAGGTTCTACCGTGTCACAGACACAGGATTCGCTGTGCGGTAAATACTTGGAGCTTGTCTCAGGCAAGTGAGGACTCCAATGGCAACATCTGCTTGAGGCACCGCCCGGGGCGGACCCTGTGTAGAGTGTGGAAAGTCGGACCAGCTCTCTGGTCGACCCTCTTGGGCGCGCCCTGGGGCTCTCTTGGGCCGTTTTGGGGGGCCCAGTGGGGGGCTGTTTCGGGGCCTCTCTTGGTGTTTTGTTCGGTCTCTTGGGGGCCTCTTGGGGCTTCTTGGGGCTTCTTGGGCGCCTCTTGGAGCCTCTTGGGGTCTCCTGGGGGCCTCTTGGGCCAAAACGCTCAAATCTTCGGTTCCTCGTCGCCGTCTTGGGCGCCGACTCGGGGCGTTCTTGGGCGGTTTGGGCGCCTCGGAGGCCGTCTTGGCGCCCTCGTGGGCCGTCTTGGAGCCCACTTGGGAGCATCCTCGACCGGCTTGGGTGCCTCTTGGGCCGCCTTGGACGCAGTGGAAGCCCATAAGGTGAACACGCCAAAAAGACCAGTTGGCCCATAGGAAATCTGCGATTTTGGCTTATTGGGGCTCGATTGGGGTGCCCCTTGAGGTGTGTTCGGGGCCTCTTTTTGTGTTTTTGCGGGTCTCTTGGGGGGGACCTCTTGAGGCTTCTTGGGCGTTTCTTGGAGCCTCCTGGGGGCCTCTTGGGCCAAAACGCTCAAATCTTCGGTTCCTCGTCGCCGTCTTGGGCGCCGACTTGGGGCGTTCTTGTGCGGTTTGGGCGCCTCGTGGGCCGTCTTGGCCCCCTCGTGGGCCGTCTTGGAGCCCTCATTGGGGGCATCCTCGACCGTCTTGGGTGCCTCTTCGGCCGTCTTGGACGCAGTGGAAGCCCAAAAGGCGAACACGCCAAAAATATCAGTTTCCCCATCGGAAATCAACGATTTTTGCTTATTGGGCCTCTCTCATGGTGCCTCTTGGGGCGTCTTCGGGGCCTCCGGGGGCCTTCTTGGCGTCATGGGAGCCGTCTTGCAAGGCATCCAGAGCCACGTTGTCGAGCGTTCCGAAGCCATCTTCGGGCGATCTTGGACGGCCCCCGGCGCTCCGGCAGGGCTCCCGTCGCGCCGGGCCCCACATGGGGTCGTCTTGGAGCCCTCTTGGGAGCCTGCGGGGCAGTCTTGGGGGCCTCTTGGGCAGTCTTGGGCGCAGTGGAAGCCCAAAAGGCGAACACGCCAGAAACATATATTTTCCCACAGGAAATCGACGATTTGGGCTTATTGGGGCTCTATTGGAGTGCCACTTGGGGCATGTTCGGGAACTCTTTTTGTGTTTTTGCGGGTCTCTTGGGGGCCTCTTGAGGCTTCTTGGGTGCCTCTTTGAGCCTCTTGGGGTCTCCTGGGGGCTTCTTGGCCCAAATGGCTAGCATTTTCGGTTCCTCGTTCCCGTCTTGGGCGCCGCCTTGGGGCGTTGTTGAGCGGTTTAGGCGTCTCGTGGGCCGTCTTGGCCCCTCGTGGGCCGTCTTGGAGCCCACTTGGGGACATCCTCGACCGGCTTGGGTGCCTCTTCGGTCGTCTTGGACGCAGTGGAAGCCCAAAAGGCGAACACGCCAAAAAGATCAGCTGGCCCATAGGAAATCGACGATGTTTGCTTATTTGGGGCTCTATTGGGGTGCCTCTTGGGGGCCTCTTGGCGCCTCCTGGGGACCTCTTAGGGTCTCCTGGGAGCCTGGGACGCCAAAAACTCCGAATTTGAATACGGTTATAAACCTCTGGGACCCCTCTGGGGCTCGTCCTGGGGCTCTCTTGGGCTGTCTTGGGGTCTTCTCGGGCCGTCTTAAGACCCTCTTGGGATCGTCTTGGAGCCCTCTTGGGGGCCTCTTGGGCCGTCTTGGACGCAGTGGACGCCCAAAAGGCGAACACGCCAAAAATACCAGCTTTCCCATACGAAATCGACTATTTTTGCTTATTGGGCCTCTCTCGGGGTGCCTCTTGGGGAGTCTTCGGGGCCTTCGGGGGCCTTCTTGGCGTCATGGGAGTCGTCTTGAAAGGCGTCTGGAGCCATCGCTGCGGCCTCCTGGGGACTCCCTGCAGCCTCTTGGGGCCTTGGTGGCCCCGGGTCGCCGAAACCCCGTAAAAAAAACACAAGGAAAACGACGCCCTGGCCCCACATTTGTGGTCGTGGTCCTGGCCCCCGGCCCCCAGACCCGGTCCCCCGTTATATGTACAGTATCCTTTTCATTATCGTGATCCTTCTCCTCCTCCTCCTCCTCCTCTTCTTCCTCCTCCTCCTCCTCCTCCTCCTCCTCCTCCTCCTCAGCCGCCTCAGCCTCAGCCGTAGTGTAGTGTCAGCCGTAGTGTAGTGTCATAGTGCAGTGTCGCACCCAGGTGCCCCCAACACTACACTATGACATCACACGAACCGTAGCGTAGAGCATTCTCTCGCGGAGCCGAGCCAAGCTAAACCCTAAGGAACAACAAGCGTAAAACGAACTCTTCTGCCCCCCCCTCCTCAGCGGTAGTGTAGCGTCACAGTGTAGTGTCGCACCCCGTTGTCCCCAACACTATACTATGACACCACAGTATGTAACCGTAGCGTAGAGTTCTCTCTCGCGGAGCGGAGCCAATGAAAAGCCCTACGGAACAGCAGGCAACAAAACAACTCAGCCCCTCTCCTCAGCCGTAGTGTAGTGTCATAGTGTAATGTCGCACCCCGGTGTCCCCGACACTATAGTATGACACCACAGTAACCGTAGCGTAGAGTTCTCTCTCGCGGAGCGGAGCCAGCTAAAAACCCTACGGAACAGCAGGCAAAAAAAACGCAGCCCCTCTCCTCAGCCGTAGTGTAGTGTCATAGTGTAGTGTCGCACCCTGGTGTCCCCAACACTATTATACTATGACACCGCAATAGCCGTAGCGTAGAGACCTTTCTCGCGGAACGGAGCCATTCACAAACCTTACGGAACAGCAGACAGGAAAAACTCAGCCCATCTCCTCAGCCGTAGTGTAGTGTCATAGTGTAGTGTCGCACCCCGGTGTCCCAAACACTATACGATGACACCACGGCAACCGTAGCGTAGAGCACCCTCTCGCGGAGCGGAAAAAACTCTGCCCCCCTCCTCGGCCGTAGTGTAATGTCATAGTGTAGTGTCGCACCCCGGTGTCCCCAACACTATACGATTACACCACCGTAACCTCAGTGTAGTGTCATACTGTAGTGATACACGCAAGGGTTCTCGACACCACACGATGACACCACACTACCCTTAGTGTAGTGTCATACTGTAGTGTCACACGCAAGGGTTCTCGACACTACACTATGACACCACACTAATCTCAGTGTAGTGTCATATTGTAGTGTCGCACGCAAGGGCTCTCGACTCTACACTATGACACCACACTAACCTTAGTATAGTGTAATACTGTAGTGTCACACGCAAGGGTTCTCGACACTACACTATGACACCACACTAATCTTAGTGTAGTGTCAGACTGTAGTATCGCACGCAAGGGTTCTCGACACTACACTGTGACACCACACAAAATTTCAATCTCTTCACGATTAACGAGTTCTTATTCACGAGTAAGATTAACCCTTAAAAGAGGCCGTGGCAATCCTCACGGCCCCATAGCAAGTAACTGTGAAAAGAAGACCATCTATAGGACCAGTTCGCGCTTGCAGCGCAAAACTGGCTTGGTCACAGACGCGTGGTCCCCACCGCCGAGCAAACCGCCGACTGGATACCCCGACTTGCCCAAGTTCTTGACGAACAGATTCAGGTAGGAAATGCCTCCGCCAGTACGGCCCCATACGGTCTTCAATTGAATGCTGTGGAAGCTCAGCCAGCCCGTTCCTTTTCTGTGAGCCTGCGGCTGCTTGGCCGTGTAATGGAAGCCGCCCTCGCGCACGCCGTCCGCCCACTTGCCGGTCACATTGAGGGACACAAAGTAAACGTCCGAGCAGGCGTCGCCCAAACGCTGTGCCACGGCCGCGACGGCCAGGAGCGTCGCGCTCTCCGCTGCAAACTGTGGGACCTCTACCAGCAAGTGTTTGCCGACCTTAAGGAGATCAAAACGCTGCCCGTACATATTTACCAGGTGGGGATCCCCGACTGCAGCAGCAGTCATTGCAGGCGGCGCTGGCGAAGGCACCGGCGTCGGTGCCTCAATCCCAAAGACGCGAACGTGACCTGAACTTGACCCAGCACCGTCGTTGAAGTACGCTCCTATGGCCACGCGGCTGCCGTCGCTGCTCAGCGACACCGACCCTCCACTCCGATCGCCAGAGGCTTCGCCATCGATGTCCTGCCCCAACTGGCTCCATGTGTTGCCCGAAAGCCCGAAGACGCGAACGTGACCTGAACTTGACCCAGCACCGTCGTTGTAGGACGCTCCTATGGCCACGCGGCTGCCGTCGCTGCTCAGCGACACCGACCCGCCACTCCGATCGCCAGAGGCTTCGCCATCGATGTCCTGCCCCAACTGGCTCCATGTGTTGCCCGAAAGCCCGAAGACGCGAACGTGACCTGACCTGTACCCAGCACCGCCGTTGTAGGACGCTCCTATGGCCACGCGGCTGCCGTCGCTGCTCAGCGACACCGACCAGCCACTGTAATCGTAAGAGGCTTCGCCATCGATGTCCTGCCCCAACTGGCTCCATGTGTTGCCCGAAAGCCCGAAAACGCGAACGTGACCTGACCTGTACCCAGCACCGCCGTTGCCGGTCGCTCCAATGGCCACGCGGCTGCCGTCGCTGCTCAGCGACACCGACTCGCCACTGTAATCGTAAGAGGCTTCGCCATCGATGTCCTGCCCCAACTGGCTCCATGTGTTGCCCGAAAGCCCGAAGACGCGAACGTGACCTGACACGTACCCAGCACCGTCGTTTAAGTGCGCTCCTATGGCCACGCGGCTGCCGTCGCTGCTCAGCGACACCGACCCGCCACTGTAATCGCCAGAGGCTTCGCCATCGATGTCCTGCCCCAACTGGCTCCATGTGTTGCCCGAAAGCCCGAAGACGCGAACGTGACCTGACCAGTACCCAGCACCGCCGTTGTAGGACGCTCCAATGGCCACGCGGCTGCCGTCGCTGCTCAGCGACACCGACCAGCCACTGTAATCGTAAGAGGCTTCGCCATCGATGTCCTGCCCCAACTGGCTCCATGTGTTGCCCGAAAGCCCGAAGACGCGAACGTGACCTGAACTGTACCCAGCACCGCCGTTGTTGATCGCTCCAATGGCCACGCGGCTGCCGTCGCTGCTCAGCGACACCGACTTGCCACTCTGATCGCCTGGGGCTTCGCCATCGATGTCCTGCCCCAACTGGCTCCAGGAGGCCCCATTCACCATGTGGTCAGCCGCCTCGACTTGGCGTTGTCCTTTCTGCTGGCTGGCGTTCACGTGGAGCACCATGGAGGTCACTGTAGGCACGCCCTTACGGGAACTGACGCGGTCGAGGTCGAAGCTCGTGGCGTCCGTGCCGAGCTGCAGGAGCACGGTGTCATCCTGCTGAAAGTTGACCTCCAACGCTGCGGTCGTGCCGCAGACGCCGTGGACGAGGAGAGGGATCAGCAAGCACACTCGGACAGGCGCCTTCTGAGCCATCGTGGCGTGCACGTCTCAAAGGCGAACTCGAGGAATAGGTGGTTCGGTCAGGCACGTACGTTGGCGTTTCTCGCTTGAGCCAGATGGCGCCAAAATGCTACGGACAGACACACACACACACACACACACACACACGCACACACACACACACACACGCACACACACACACACATACGCATATACCTACACAGACACGCACACACAACACACACACAACACACACAATGCTCGAAACCTCACCGTCATGTTGCAGGGGTTTTTGACCGGGAGTATGGGGCGGTCGACATATTGCCCAATGTGGTGCACCTGGTGCGCGTGGCGCACATGACACGTGCGGCGCACCTCGCGGGCATCGCGCACTGGCTGGCGTCTGGACTGGTTCCCGATAGTTGTCGATGGCGGCCCTGCCTGTGCTCAGACTCGGGTGCGACATATATGGTGGGAGGGCGGGTGGGAGTGAGCGACACGGCTTTCGGCTTGAAGTAGCTTGACTCCTCCCTACCCCGTACCCATGGATCTGGGGAGGAAGGGCGGCGGGTAGATAAACAGTCCAAGATGGCCCAGGGCTACAAGAGGGCCTCAGTCTAAGCTGTCCTCCAAGATGGTCCAAGATAGTGCAAGATCGCTCAAGATGGTTTCCAACATACTCCAAGAGGTACCAAGAGAGCTCCAGGACAGGTCCAAGTAGCCTTAGGGGCCCCCCGGACGCCCCCAATAGGGCAAAATCAGTCCAGAACCCACGGAAATCCAATGGGTTTGGCCTTCACGCCGATTCGCTTCCGATCGCCGTCCGAGGCCTCAAGATGGCCCCAAAGGGGCCCCAGAGAGACCCACGAAAGGCACAAGAGGGCTCAAAGAGCGCCCAACATACGCCCCAAGAGCGCCCCAAGAGAGCCCCAAGAGGCGATGTTGGGGGCTCTAGAAGGGCAGCGCCAATTCAAGAACTCCCCTTCCTTGATCGATGTCCTCCAAGATGGTGCCAAGAAGGCTTCCGAGGCTCACAAGAGGGCCCCAAGAGGGACCCAATCGCTCCCAAAATGTTTGAAGACTGCTCCAAGAGCACCCAAGATGCTCAAATAAGCTCCCCACGGGCCAGCAAAAAGATGTTCAAAACGCCCGAAAACGCCTCAAAGAGACCCTCAAGAAGCACCCCACGAGACCCAAAGAAGCATCCACGGGGTAACTAACCCACACGGGCACCCGATTTCTCCAAATGATGCCACGCTCCCCGTTCAGGGCACCTTCTCCGGGCATCATGTCTGGATTGGCTGGCGGGACGGCCCAGCCCCGAGAGCGACCAAGAGCGCCCCAAGAGCGTCCCCGGTAGAGGCGGTTCGACTCCTCCTCCTCCTCCTCCATTTCCTCCTCCATTTCCTCCTCCTCCTCCTCCTCCCTCCTCCTCCTCCTCCTCCTCCTCCTCCTCCTCCTCCTCCTCCTCCTCGCCCTCCTCCTCCTCGTCCTCGTCCTCGCCCTCGCCCTCCTCCTCCTCATCCTCCTCCTCCTCCTCCTCCTCCTCCTCTTCCTCTTCATCCTCCTCCTCCTCATCATATTATTCTTAGTATTATGCTTAGTATTCGCTTGCTTCTTCTTAGTCTTTTTTATAGTATTATTATTATCATTATTATTATTCTTATTATTATTACTACTATTATTATTAGTATTATTATTATTAGTATTAGTATTAGTATTAATATTGCTAGTAGTAGTAGTAGTAGTAGTATTATTACTAGTATTGTTAATATCAGTGTTATTATTATTATTATTACTACTACTACTAATACTACTATTATTATTAGTATCTTCTTATTGTTGATATTATTAAAATTCGTCGTGGTATTAGTATTAGTCTTATTATGATTAGTATTAGTATTAGTATTGCGATTATTGTTATGCATATTACTATAACTATTAGTATTATTCTTATTGTTAGTAGTACCATTATGATTATGATTCGTCTTCTTAGCATTATCCTTATTATTCCTCTTCTTATTAATTATTATTATGATTACTATTATTATTATGTTTCTGAGTAATCTTCTTCATGTTCTTAGTATTCGTCGTATGCTTCTTCTTCTTACTAGTATTCCTCTTCGTATTATTCTTCTTATTCGTTTTCTTAGGATTATTCCTCCTCCTCCTCCTCATTCTGCTTCTTATGATTATTATTATTACTCTTCCTCCTCCTCCTCCTCCTCCTCCTCCTCCTCCTCCTCCTCCTCCTATCCTCCTTATCCTCCTCCTCCTCCTCCTCCTCCTCCTCCTCCTCCTCCTCCTCCTCCTCCCCTCCTCCTCCTCCACCTCCTCCTCCTCCTCCTCCACCTCCTCTCCTCCTCCTCCTCCTCCTCCTCCTCCTCCTCCTCCTCCTCCTCCTCCTTCCCCTCCTCCTCCTCCTCCTCCTCCTCCTCCCCTCGCCCTCCCGCGGGCCCCAGGGATAGACCGAAGAGGCTCTTCAAGTCCACCCTCTTGCTTCCAGAGATTTCCCTGTTCATTCTGATTGCCCGTTTCGTTTCACTTTCTGTGTCTCTTCGTCCTTTTCCCCGTCGGCTCTCATGGGCAACGTTTCTGGATGGGCTGGTGGGGATATTTTTTTGGTGAGCAGCCGCAGGCGAGAACGCCGGCGGCGAGTAAGGTCCAAGCGGGCCGCGCGAGAGACTAATTGCCAAGCGCCGACGGGCCGCCGGCCTAAGAAGTACCTCGGCGGGCGGCTCGGCGGGAGGGGGGTGCGGGCTGCAGCTGCCAGGTACCAGGCACAGTGCCAACCAGGAGCGCGCACATGCACGATTAGCCAACTGGGGTTGGGGCGCAGGCAAAATATCGCGGAGGTGGTACCAGGGCGTGGCCGAGACCACCAGTAGTACACTGCAAGCTACCGGGAGACCATACTGGCCAAAGACTGGTGCGCAGGGGGCGCCACCATCGCACACCGAGGCTCCTGAAGGGAGTAAGATCCTCCATGCAGCCGTCCGCGGAGTGGTACCGGGCCGCCCGCGAAGTGGCCAGGATAACGATGGCTGCAGTTGGCACCGTAGTCGCCTGAACCACCAGATCAAAGCCAAGCGCACTCACGAACAGGTCGCCGAACTCTGAGAGCTGCCAAAAGACCAGGGAAATCCACGTCTCAGCATGGGGTCGAACGGACACGAAGAGTGCCGTAGGCATCGCCGCCGGGAAACCGTGGACGTAGTCAACACAGTCATCCGACAGCCAGGAGAGCACAGGCTGCACCACGTGCACGCCAGAACTCCTTGCGCCGACGACGGAGTCGGGTCACGGAGCTGGAAGACCTGGGGCTCGAGCTGACAGGGCCGCTGCGACGCACAACCGCCTGACACAGTACCAGGATGTGGCCAGGAAGACCACCACCAGTACGCTGCGTCCGTACCAGGAGACCCAACTGCCCGCGAACTGGGGCAACGGGTGGCGCCACCACACTCGCACACCAGGACTCCTGAAGGGAGCACTGATCCTGCATACAACCGCCCTCGGGGTGGTCCCGGGCGGTCCAGCGAAGTAGCCAGGGAAACGGTGGATGTGATCGACACCGTACCGCGCCTGAGCCACCCGATCAGGTGAGCCCAACACCATCCCGAACAGGGCCGTCGATGCCTGAGAGCTGACCAGGACTATGGCAATCCACGTCTCAGGCACGGAACCGAGCGAACACGAGAGGGCCACGGGCACCGCGGCCAGCAACCGTGGACGTAGTCAACACAGTCATCCGACAGCCAGGAGAGCACAGGCTGCACCACGTGCACTCAGGGACTCCATGCGCCAACGACGTGGCTGAGCCAATGGAGCTGGGGAAACCAGGGGCCGGGGCTGACTGGGCCGATGCGACGCCCAGCCACCTGAGAGGGGGGGGGGCCAGGACGGAGTGAGGCAGAGCTGACCAAACGCGGAGAGCGACACAGCTCAGGGCGAGGCAGCTGCAAGTGGGCGCGGGGAGGAGATGGCGCCGATTGCAGCAAAAACAGCTACAGCAGGGCCAGGGGCCAACTAGGACAGGTGGACTGCGGCCCCAGCGGCAGTCCACTTGCCGGCATTGTCAGCAGGCAGCTGCCAGGGTCCCAAGGGCGGGGGACAGCGGGTGCTGAAAGAGTCTTTCCTCTGAAAACCGGGGTAAGATGTCAAATAAGTTAAGGTCTCATGTTGATTCTGCTCAGTGGTAGAGGATGCGGAATGAGACATGGACGAAACAACCATATATCCGTTAAGCAAATGCACTCAAATATAGGAAGGGAGGAGGTCTGGCCGGCCGACGACCGACGACGAGCGCGGACGAAGGCCAGCTCGCTCCTTTTGTTACTCGAGAAGCAAATTGCTGCAGAATGCAGTAAAAGTACAGTCAAGGTGTGGCAAGGCAGGCAGCAAGAGAGGCAAGTGCAAGATGAGGCGGAGAGGAGCCTATCTACTCCCCCCGCGGCGGGCTTCGCAAAGCCCAACCAACCACAGCCCGCCCGGCCTGCACATATATACAGCCACCGGGGCGAACCCCAAAAGCATTTTACCGTTCGACGGCGGTTGCCAGGGGGCTGAGGGCCGGAGAAAACTCGACAAATCCCACCAATAGTTAAATAAAACCTCTCTGCCGAAACGACTTTGTCGTTCGGACGGGGCCGCGGCAACTTTGCTGCGCGGCCTTCGCATGCCCTCACTTGTTGTACTAGAGGTACCGCCCCGAGGGCGGAGACGGAGGCTTCGGGTTCGAAGACGATGAACATCCCGTCTGGTCAGCGGGCCAATAAGGCGAAGTTGACCTGCCTCCCTTACCGCGACCAACATAGGGAGCTGGCCTGTTGTACTTGTCCTTGTTCTTGTCATTGGTGTATCCTTTGCCTTTCTCTCTCTGGAAGTAGTAGTCGTAGTCGCTGGGGGGCACAAAGTGCCATGCCCGACTCTGCTCTCTCTGCGATTCATCCAGTATATGACGTCACGGTGGACCCAGTATCCTTGCAATTCACCCGCCGTGTACTTCGGGTAGTGGATCGCGGGGCTGCATTCATCAGCAGCGCGTCCGGCAGCCATGGCCCCGGCGCGCGCGCAGACATTGACCAATCCCATGTGTCTCCGTCAGAAGAACGCCGCGAATACTCTTCTCTCGCCGCGCCGGTTTGACCGCCGGCGGAGTAAGGAAGGAGACTCGGTAACATCATCGCTGGCCCGATCG